ACTCCCACAAGGGAGGCCACACCCACAGAGTAGGTTCAAACAATTTTTGAAACCCACCACTGTGTGGCCGGTATGACTAAACACTAAAGACGCACGGAATGCTGTTACCTTCCCACCAGAGGTGGTTCCTATTTTTTCTACTTGCATTTTTAATGCTTCCAAACTGCTAGGTTGGCAAAATCTGGGACAAGAAACATGAGCTCGCTCCATTATGTGGCGCTAGGGATTTGAACCGCCAAACTGCCAGCCTTTCTAATTGAAAGGAAGGATACAATGTTATCCTTTGGGAAGGAGACAACAGTCAAAATTAACCAATCCTATCAGAACTATCTAGTAGTTTGCATGAAAATACTGACAACAACAACAATAATGGAATAAAAATAGGTACAACATGGTTTATAAACCACAATGTTCACAATTACAAGCAAGCAAATCATATTATGGCTTGGTGCAATGTGAAAACACAACTTCTTCCAAAATGAAATCTGATGAGTGAGAGACATCTGTGTTAACCAAAACGTAGAGAACCACATTCAGCCGGTGTTCCCAGGCGGAATGCAGTTCTCTAAATTTTGGGATATGACCCCCCAGGGTCCTTCCAGAAGGATCTGCCAAATCCCAACATATCCAAAGGTGGAAATTCCTGATTGCATCGGAAACATCCACATAATTGTACTTAATTAATGCAATTTCATTTTCATTAAATTTAAATTAAACGTCAAGCCCAGTTTTTATTCTCACTTTTTCTTCCCCAAGCCTTTTTTTCGGTGCTACGCCTTGACATACTTATGTGGTTGCTTGAAATGAAAAGAAAAGTAACCTCAAAATTAAACCACATATAGGTAATAGCCAGGAGGCAAATAGGAAACAATGAATTCAGCTCTTAAAGGATGCAAACGGAAGGATTTTTATTTTATTTTTTACAAAACCAACCAGCATGGAGATTTTATCATGTTCTATATTCTTCCATACTTTGATAGTGAAGAACTATATAGGTCAACTCAAGAGCCTTAGATGTAAGATAAGCTGCTTTGGAATGTGTGGAAGCACAAACACCTTAGTTGTCTGGAACTCATTAAGGAAACTATGTCTTTTTCCAGGCTGATGCAGGCATGGGTGCTTTAATGAGTTACAAAAAAAAGTCTTGGGTTTGCACAGCCATGTATTCTAAAAACCCTCTTCTAAAACGAACAGTGCACAATCCTACTGGATATATATTTACTTCATTAGCCTTTGAATGGTTATTAGCTCAAAAACAACAATGCAGGCGGAGGGGAAGAATGATTTTATTAGGCACGTGTTTTGTTATTGAAAAGTAACTGTAGAACTCTGTTGGAGTAAAGCATGCGCACAAATACAGACACTGATTCGTATTTAAAGTGATCTTTGCTTCCTTACCTGCGAGCAAGGAAAGTCCCAGATGTGGAAAAGAATCTCTTTGCCTTCTACTGCCAAACTGTGAGTGTAGATAGACTCTGGGTGGGGAAAAGCAGAAAGTTCAGGTTGCCACAAGCCATTCTCAAGAACTCCATCCTTTTCCTCCCTTCCGTGTATTTCCTCCTTGGCCTCTCCCTTTGAGCGGCTCCGGGGGTAACGAAAGGGCAGCTCCACAGAGCAAAGCCTGAGCGTTTTACACACATCATGCATTTGCCCAACCTCTGCCTGGTTCGCCCTGATTGGAGTTGTTCGGATGAAAAAAAGATACAACTGGCACTCTAAATACCGCACACAGAACAGCACACAGTCAGCCATATGTGCCACTCTGTATGTACTGTATGTGTTATGTGTGCATTAACTCTATGGTATCTATCATCAATCTATCTACAGTGTCTGTCTGTCTGTCTGTCTAACTGCCTAAGCCTGCCTGTCTGTCTGTCTGTCTGTCTGTCTGTCTGTCTATCATCCATCCATCCATCCATCCATCCATCTATAGCATCTATCTATCTATCTGTCTGTCTGTCTGTCTGTCTGTCTATCTATCTATTTATCTATCTCTATCTATCTATCATCCATCCATCCATCCATCCATCCATCCATCCATCCATCCATCCATCCATCCATCCATCC